TTCAATATATTCATTATTATAGGTAACTGTCACGGGGTAGGCTAGCATCCGACCACAAAGTGATAAGAGGCATGCCTTCACCTCGTGTTGTGGGTTCTTTGACACCCTACGGATTGAAATATCGAAAGTAAGCCAGCTAATGCCTGGATTGTCCCCTGTACAACTTATTATAGCACCAGACCCACTCGCACACAATGAAATGCACAATAATATCGTAAAGAATGGTTTAATTGTACAACCGTTTATGATACACAGAATTCGCTGATATGAATTAACGTAACAAAGATATAAGTCGCTGTACAATAGGAAAAATTAACACGCATGTCAGGGCAGGATAAAGCAGTGGCGTCCCGTGAATAACCAGTTTACTCAACCCGAAACCATGATGATTCACAATAGGCAATGCATCTTTTACGTATGGAACGACGCCGCTACTTAACTGCGCCGACGGGCGCGCGAAACGTTGAAGCAGGAAACGGGCTGTCACAAAATACAATTAAACTAATACTGTTACAATTTCAAATAAGAATACAATAATTTAACCACTAAATTAGCCAAATAGTTACCAAAATACATTCAAAACACAGCCAATGGTCCCTAGCCTAATGTGCGTGTAATGAGCGTGATAATTACCGGCTTCTGTTGGGTTATAGTAGAAACGTTGCTACATGTAGATTCAGTTCGATACTCAGGCCTAGTTTCTCGTAGGATACCTTGTAGGATTCGTGTCGAAACAAAAGTTCCATGGAACAGCACGTAGAAAAGGAGTCCAGTCTTCCACTGTATCTACACAACGTCCGTCGACTAGGCGAGTAGCTTGCACACCACGTGGGGATGAACTAACTCTCCCCGTTCACTCGCAACACAAGGCTGGCTCCGGTTGCTGTCGCTGCCTCAGTTCTTAATGTTCTCCCCCCGCGGCTGCGTCTACCTTGACCTTTTATAACGTCCCCCACCTGGAATCATTGTCATGGCAACTGAACATAGTTGGAATCTGCTTACACAATACACTGGTGCTATCATTCTTGGTAGTCACTTAACCGGTGTTTGTAATCAATAGCCGGCACACGTATGGCACGCGTCTCTTTATGAATGGAGTTTTGGGGTGTGTAAGTGTTTCAAAGTCTACTAGCTCGGCTGTGAAATAATCCTACCTCTGGCTGTATTTTAATATACCTTTTCTCCAAACCCTAAATTTAACCCGGCATGTATACCATCACGAACCTTGTGACATACCCCCATACCAAGTCGTAATCATAGACCATGATTATGCCAACACCCACAAGTTTTATTCTAAAGCAATTGATATTTAATTTAACCCAACATACCTTTGTCTGAACTCCTACTAAGGTAATCCGCCCCTATATTGTGACTACCTTTAATTGCTATAATTCGATATGAAAATGATTGCATATACAACGCCCATCTCATAATCCTGCTATTAGTAAATTTTGCACTTTTCATATATATCAGTGGTTTGTGATCGGTTTCAATCCAGAAACTAGCAGTATGAAGGTACTGTTGAAATTTTCGCAGGCCCCATATTAACGCAAGACATTCCTTCTCTATTACCGCATAATTTTACCTCTGCTTTAGTTAGTTTTCGGCTTGCAAATGCCACAGGAAAGGCTACTTCATCGTAATATTGAAGCAGAACCGCCCCTAGCACCACTTCAACAGCATCAGTTCTCAGAACAAATGTACGATTAAAGTCTGGCAATTTAAGGATTGGGGGATTGCTAAGAGCATGTTTTAGTTGTTCAAAGGCGAGCTGATGAACCTTCTCCCAAATTACTTTTTTCGGCAGACCTTTTCGGGTTAGATCGTACAAAGGAGCAGCGATAGCTGTGAAATTGGGTACAAATTTGCGATAATATCCCGCATATCCTAGCAGGGCCCTTACTTGGGTAACTGTTTCTGGTCTTCGCGCATTTTGCATGGCATTGATTTTACTGGGCATGGTCCGCAACTCACCATGCCCTACGACGTGGCCGACAAATTCAAGTTGAGAAAAACCAATATAACATGTTGATGGTTTAACTGTTAAACCAGCCTCTTGAAGACGCTGTAGAACCTCAACAAGGGTGCATACATGATCTTCCCATAGTTTATTGTATATCAATATATCGTCTACCAGATTGACGACCTTTCCATGCATACCCCCGAGAATAACCCTCATCATTCTCGAGAACGTACTGGGACTATTGACCAAGCCAAAGGGCATAACCCTATACTGGAACAACCCAAGTGGAGTGAGAAAAGCAGTTTTAGGTTTTGACCCAGGGGTCAAGGGTATTTGCCAAAAACCCTTGGTCAAGTCAAGTTTTGTCAAGTATCGACCCTCAGCAAGATTGGAGAATAACTCCTCAGGGTTAGGCATTGGTTCGGCATCGAAGACTGTTATTTGATTAAGACGACGGAAGTCTGTACAAAAACGAATCTTTCCGTCTTTTTTCTTAATCAAGACAATAGGAGCAGCATAGGGTGAATCTGACAGTTCTATGATGCCCATCTTTAACATATCTTCCACTTCCTTAATGACCAACTTCTGGGTTGCGAAGGGGTTTGCATATGCCTTGCACTTGATTGGTTGATCTGTCGTCAACTTTATATCATGGCACCCAACCTTCGACTGTCCAGGCAAGTCTGTTAAAGTTTTTGTAAACTTTCTCAAAATTAATTTGATTTCCATTACCTGACTCTCCAAGAGATCTGGGCCTAAATGCACATCTTCAATTGTCTCCTCCCCTAAAAGGGGCACAAATTCTATTATGTCAGGAGACCGACATTCAGGACCATCCTCTCTCTGATCATCTGGTGGGGTTACAACCATGCCAGTAGATACGCATGTTAATAGCCCTGCAGTACCCACTTCTGAATGTGTGATAGAATCTTTCTCACAGTTGTCAAAACTCCTTCTTTCCTCATACTTTTTTAACATGTTGATATGATACAACTTCAGTTTACCATTTTTGTCTATGCGATAGTCCACCTGCCCTACCCGCTCTTTAATTTTATATGGACCTTGCCATTGCATACGCAGTTTGTCTGCAGAGGTGGGTAGCAAAAGCAAAACCTGGTCACCAACTTCGAACTTCCGAGGTTTAGTTTTTTTGTCGAAATGCGATCTATACCTCTCACTTGACTTTGTTAGTTCCTGCTGTGCTATCTGACAAGTAGTTTCTAATCGATTTCTCAGATTAAGCACATACTCATAGGTATTGAGGACTTCAGGACTGGTAGCCTCCCCTGTCCACAATTCTCTAAGTATGGTCATAGGGCCTCTTACGGTCCTGCCATACAATAGTTTGAAGGGGGAAAAGCCTAAACTAGCCTGAGGAGCCTCGCGGTACGCAAACAACAAAGGTGCTATATACCGATCCCAATCTTTCGGGCGTTCACTACACATGCGCTTGAGCATGCCCTTTAAAGTGGCGTTAAAACGCTCTACAAGGCCATTGCATTGAGGGTGGTATGGAGTAGTGGTTAGCTGCTTGATTGACAACAGCCTACTGACCTCCCTCATCACATCACTCACAAACTGTGTACCCTGGTCTGTAAGTACTTGTTCTGGAAATCCTACTCTACAATATATAGTGAATAATGCCTCAGCTACAACTTCTGTTGAAATCCGTTTCAGAGGTGTAGCCTCTGGGTAACGAGTTGCGTAATCGACCACAGTTAAGATATATTGATGACCCTTTGTAGTGGCTGGTTTGATGGGCCCTACAAGATCCATCGCCACCCTTTTAAATGGTACATCTATTAATGGCATTGTACCAAGAGGGACCTTCCCTATTTTCCCTTTTGGGATGGTACGTTGACAAATGTCGCATGATCGACAATATCTTTTAATTTGTTCATGCATTGCTGGCCAATAAAACTGGGTAAAAATCTTATTGATAGTTTTCTGGGTACCCAAATGGCCTGCAAGGATTGAGTCATGCCCCAGCTTCATAACTTCCAGACGAAAAGCTGATGGCACCACCAGTTGTTTAAAAGTCCTCCCAAATTCTAATGACGGAGAGTGGAAATGACGATACAACAATCCTTTTTTAAAAAGGAAACGACAGATATTTGAAGTGCCTGTATTGATTTCCACTCCCTTCGTAGCCAATTCCCGGGCTCGCTTCAAAGTTGGATCACGTTTTTGTGCTGCTTTTAACTCTTCTGTCGTGACCAATGTATTATTTGGGCGTGTTAGGACCTTAAGAGGTGCCTTGAGTTTGTCCCCACCCCAAAACTGGGACCTTGTCACAACGCCCTGCACCGCATCAATCGAGTTACTCTTTTCTGGGGTTTGGGTAGAATATTCAGTTCTTATCTCCCCACAAGTTAGGATTTCCCCGCGATTAACACCATGATCAGTAAGGGCATGTGACCTTATTTCCATCTCGCTCTGGCTCCGACCATTGTCGGGGCTCTGGCTCCGACCATTGTCGGGGCTCTGGCTCCGACCATTGTCGGGGCTCTGGCTCCGACCATTGTCGGGGCTCTGGCTCCGACCATTGTCGGGGCTCTGGCTCCGACCATTGTCGGGGCTCTGGCTCCGACCATTGTCGGGGCTCTGGCTCCGACCATTGTCGGGGCTCTGGCTCCGACCATTGTCGGGGCTCTGGCTCCGACCATTGTCGGGGCTCTGGCTCCGACCATTGTCGGGCTCTGGCTCCGACCATTGTCGGGGCTCTGGCTCCGACCATTGCACGCTTACCTTGGAAACCCGGCCTTATGGGGGCATGAAACTGCCTCCCTGCCTTATTGTGTCTCTGTAACTCTGACACTGTTTCATTACATGGGGTTCCTCTATACAAATAACGATTGTTCACCATGTTCGACCGCCCTCCATCTTGACCTAGGTCGGGGTTAAAGGGTTCCCTAGCGCCCTCTATGTTACCGATAACCAGGTCCCATATTGGAGATTTGAAACAGAGTGCTCTCACAGGTCCAGTGTAGTAAGGCGTTTGGACTTCCAACTCTGCTATACCTGTTCTAATTCTAGAACCGTCAATTAGTATGCAAGTGCCCTCCTCATCACTCATTTGCGATGGGTGCACCAAACTAGTTCGTACTGTTACCCCACTACAACCAGTGTCACGGAGAACACTCACCTTATGACCATTCACTGTGCCCACTGCAATAGGCATGGATATAGTCTCAGCCACCTCACTGATACCAATCCCCATCATAGCAGGCACAGGCAGAACCTTATCTCCAATTTTAGTCATTTGCATCTGTTTGCTCTCCGTGATCAGCACCGAGGTACTTGCCCTATTAGCCACAGTAGATTTGTCAGATGAGGCATTAAGGACGCTACGAGTATTCATGCATGCCCCAACTGTCAATATGTTGCCTTTAGCATCACGTGTTGACCAGCATTTAGTCTTCATGTGCCCCAGCTTACCACACCGATGGCATACTGGTTTACATTTTGACTGTTGACCCCCTGTCGCTTCTAAGCCCTGTGCACGACTGGGTAACTGACTAGTATTTTTGGATGGTTTTTCTACACGCGGTGTTTTATGGTTCATACCAGTGTAGTGTCGACTTTCATCACGACGATCAACACAGGTAGCCATCTCACCCACAGTATTGCACGCATGCTCTCTGACATGCATCACAACTTCATAACTGCAAGTGGACAGGTATTGCTCCTGTGCAATTAAATCTATTAATACCTCCGCTGTATTTTCAATGCCAGACAGTTCAACCCATCGTGCCAAATAATGTTTTAGCCTAACGACAAATTGGGTAGCCGTTTCAAACTTAGCAGGTCTAGATTGTCTAAATTTCTCCCTATACCCTTCCTCGGTAAGATTGTATGCTTTTAGCATAGCGCATTTCACACTCGCCCAATCCTTAGTCTGCTCAACATCCAATGCATTATATATAGCCAATGCCTTCCCCGACAACTGCCCACTAAATGCGACCCCCCATACATCTTGGCTCCATTGGCAATTATTAGCAAATATTTCAAAACGCCTTATATACACATCCATGTCATCTCCTTGCACAAAATCAGGAGGGGCTTTAATTTTAATTGAAAAGGGAGAGGTTTTGGATTCAGATGTAGATTGTCCCGTTTTGAACATTTCCATTTTTAGCCTTGTCAGTTCCAGTTCTTTTTCGACCAAACGCGCTTGGCTTTCTCTTTCAGCCAAACGTTCAGTTCGTTCTTGGTCTTGCATTTGTTTAAATGTAGAACGGACATATTTATCTAAATCTGCCCCCTGATAACCCAATTCCTCGCCCTGTTGTCTAATTTCGCCGACAGTACTAGGAGCAATGTCCCGAAATGAAGGCGATAGTATTCTACCCCGTCCCGTTGGCGTTGTGATAACGTTTGTTGCCATAATGTACACTTATTATTAAATCGCTATTCACAATGTGCCCGTGTGAGACTGGTCGGGGAATCAATCGCGTAAGCTGGCAGGTTTTAAGTTAAAATGATTTTCCTCGCACCGATAATTATCTGCTTAACAATATTTGTTTTGTTTTATCATAAAGCAGATCCCACTTCTGACACCATTTGTCACGGGGTAGGCTAGCATCCGACCACAAAGTGATAAGAGGCACGCCTTCACCTCGTGTTGTGGGTTCTTTGACACCCTACTGATTGAAATATCGAAAATAAGCCAGCTAATGCCTGGATTGTTCCCTGTACAACTTATTGTAGTACCAGACCCACTCGCACACAATTAAATGCACAGTAATATCGTAAAGGATGGTTTAATTGTACAACCGGTTATGATACACAGAATTCGCTGATATGAATCAACGTAACAAAGATATAGGTCGCTGTACAATAGGAAAAATTAACACGCATGTCAGGGCAGGATAAAGCAGTGGCGTCCCATGAATAACCAGTTTACTCAACCCGAAACCGGGATGATTCACAATAGGCAATGCACCTTTTACGTATGGAACGACGCCGCTACTTAACTGCGCCGACGGGCGCGCGAAACGTTGAAGCAGGAAACGGGCTGTCACAAAATACAATTAAACTAATACTGTTACAATTTCAAATAAGAATACAATAATTTAACCACTAAATTAGCCAAATAGTTACCAAAATACATTCAAAACACAGCCAATGGTCCCTAGCCTAATGTGCGTGTAATGAGCGTAATAATTACCGGCTTCTGTCGGGTTATAGTAGAAACGTTGCTACATGTAGATTCAGTTCGATACTCAGGCCTGGTTTCTCGTAGGATACCTTGTAGGATTCGTGTCGAACACAAAAGTTCCATGGAACAGCACGTAGAAAAGGAGTCCAGTCTTCCACTGTATCTACACAACGTCCGTCGACTAGGCGAGTAGCTTGCACACCACGTGGGGATGAACTAACTCTCCCCGTTCACTCACAACACAAGGCTGGCTCTGGTTGCTGTCGCTGCCTCAGTTCTTAATGTTCTCTCCCGCGGCTGCGTCTACCTTGACCTTTTATAACGTCCCCCACCTGGAATCATTGTTATGGCAACTGAACAATAGCCGGCACATGTATGGCACGCGTCTCTTTATGAATGTTTTTTGAGGTGTGTAAGTGTTTCAAAGTCTACTAGCTCGGCTGTTAAGTAATCCTACCTCTGGCTGTATTAAAATATACCTTTTGGCCAAACCCTAAATTTAACCCGACAGGTATACCATCATGAACCTTGTGACAATAGCGTAATTATCAACATTATAACCGTCAGCCTGGCCACTTTGGAATTGAGAGCTGTTGTGGAGGTCATTAATATGCAATGAAATTATAACTAAGCCAATGTGGGATGTTCTTGGGTCATCTAAACCAATATAGGAAGGGCTTAGATTCTCTAAGCCAATGTGACAAGCGTTGACGCTCTCTAAGCTAATGTGACAAGGGTTGATGTCCTCTAAGCCATTATGTCAAGGGTTGATGTCCCTAAGCCAATTGACAAAACTGAAGGGTTGATTTCCCCTAAGCGTATGTGACAAGGGTTGATGTCCCCTAAGCCAATATAACAGCGCTTGATGTCCTTGTTAGCACCTCTATGTTTTTGTCATATTATGTCAAACCCTGCAAATAGAAGAGTGCATGGAATCATGGGAAGACACTGTGTCCATTGCCATGTGATAACTGTCATGAAGGTGATTGACAGGTCTTACTTGTTCACAACTCTGGAAGGACAATTGGAATCAACCAGTTGTGTTTGTGATTTACATAACAAGGGGTGTTTACAACTCTGGAAGAACAATTGGAATCTACCAGGTGTGCGTGTGATTTAAATAACAAAGAATGTGTACGATCAACTGACTTGCCTATGCGAAATATCTGCTAGCAAGATCACATTCTGATTGACTCACGTGGAAACCCAGGTGGTGTACCTGAATCTGGGCCATTTATGTCTATGAATAGGCTAGACTGGGGACAGTTGTGGTCCATCATTTCAGCTGAGTACCCTAGGTGTTGCTGCTGCGATACTGTGAGACAAGTGATACTTGTTTCAATCATCGTTCTGTGAGATTTGTATGAACTGCTCTGTGATCTCCTGCTATCAGCAGTGTCCTGCGGAATAATAGCATTTCTCTGCATGCAAGACATTGACATCTTTGACATTGTGTAGCAGAAGCCATTGACTGTCATCAATTTTCACATTCATCACCAATGCACACTTCCCTAGGCAATCCCATATTTTAGTGAATTTAGTCATTGTATTCTGTGCTTTGTTTCTTGTAATTATTTTGAGATGTATTAAAGCCAAAAGTGTTCTTGTCTACCCCATTCTAACATTGAATGAGCCCAGTGAGTTCTGTGGGTGCCTCTCTCAATAGCAATAAGCAGACCTTGTGGGGGTCACTGTTTTTCTATATGCTTATCACTCAATGTTTATAAATGCTTAGATTTAAGGCATCCATGTCTGTTCACATACGTTGTCAACCAGTTAACCTAAATTAGCTATGTGCTTCAAGTCAACATTAATAAGACGTTGTTTCTATTGTCAATTTCCTTGGCAAATCTGATAAAGGTAAATTAGCTGTTGATATTTATTTGTTAATTGTGTAATTTACTAATGTGTCATCGTTTTATTGCAGCAAAACCGATGAGACAATATTGATATTCAGAAGTTATTTGTGAGAAAATACAGATGATAACTTGTTATTTTAGGAAAAGCAGTATTGGATTTCGTTCAATCACGTAGTAATAGAAAAGTGTTCATACTTCAAATCGCGCATTCATTATTTTTGTGGGATTACTGTCGCCGAATTTCGTAAAATTGGATTTGCCAATATACTAAATTTTAGTTCATCGAATTTCAAATATATTTTTAGAATTTTTGTAACATCTAGAATATCCAAAATAGGGACCTTTTGACTTGTTACCTATTTGTATTCGTCACGTTGCGGACGTTGAACAAAATTAAAATTCACAATTTTCGTCAAATGCAAAAACTGGACGATTTTCAGGGACAACCAAGTGACTGAATGTAATGACCCGAAACTCTACAAGCATTTATTTGATAGACAATACATAGATGTACATTGGACCGGAAGTTGAATGAGAATTATTATTCGCTTCGTCACGTAGCGTACGTTGAACAAAGCTAAAATTCACAATTTTCGTCAAATGCAAAAAATGGCCTATTTTCAGGGACAACCAAGTAACTGAACGTCATGACCCGAAACTCTACAAGCATTTATTTGATACACAATACATAGATGTATATTTGACCGGAAGTTGAAGTAGAATTATTGTTTACTTCGTCATATAGCGTACGTTGAACAAAGCTAAAATTCACAAGTTTCGTCAAATGCAAAAATGACCTACTT